AAGCAATGAAAAAAAGATCCCTGTGATTCTGCATTTCCTTCATCTTGTTGAAGTGAGAAAGGGGTAGCCAGGGGGCTGGGGTTGGTGCCCAGGGGCCGCAGGCAGACCAGCTGAGATTAGGCAGACATGCTAGAGCGGATGGCATTTTTAGTGACAGGTTTTAGGGAAAACCACACTATCCTTTCAGATACTTTACCCAATCATACACAAATATAAATATATTTTATGCTTAGATAGAATAGACTTTACGCACATATACACACGTATGTACATGCGTACATGTGTGAGTGCATCTGTACATATAAGATATTTTGTTTTTATTCCTCTGATTAAAGGCAGAGACTTTTTGATGGCTCTGTCCCTAAAGAAGCAGGTTATTTTATCTTTTTTCATTCTGTTGATCTGCACAGAACACGAAGCGGAAGCGGCTTCTGCAGTTCTTTAGACTGTGTTGTTTTTGTCATAGTGCGCTTTTCCTTCACAAACTCTTATCACAATCAATTACATTTCTGAGGATTTGGCCCTGCGGTGCATTTTTCCTCAGGTAGACTTGTGTTCCAGGTCTTTATCTGTCTTGAACGTATTGGTCAGTTTAGAAGCCAGTATCGCCTGGCCGGTGTGGCCCAGTGGCTGAGAGTTGTCCCACACACCAGGAGGTCGCCGGTTCCATTCTGGGATTCTGGTCGGGGCACGTGCCCAGGTTGTGGGCTTGATCCCCAGTAGGAGACATGCAGGAGGCAGTTGATTGATGTTTTGCTGTCACATTGATGTTTCTTTCTCTCCCTCTCCCTTCCTCTCACTCTAAAATCAATTAAAAAATAAAACATATTTTAAGGATCCAGGATCCAGGTCCCACTGTGGTCAGGCAGCCCTGCAGACATGGGGCCTTCGTGATGGGGAACTTACATGACTTGCATCCCAAGACTGCTCCTGGTAGTGGAAGTGAGAGACTGCCCCACTTCTAGAATCTGACAGGAGACCTTCAGGGGCCACAGTCTTGTGGGCGGCTGTCCTGTGCGGAGGCTTTGGGGGCTGATTTACTGCCCAGCAGGTTCCAGCCCTGAGACTGTGCCTGGCTTCCCATGGATGCCCAAGTTTCCTGCCTGAAACCACTGCTAAGGGTCATCTCTTGGGAGATGTCCCATAAAGCTGCTGATGGAGAACCACGCAGGCCATCATGACCGGTCCCCTGTTCCTTCAGCTGACGGCGAACTGCAGGCTGCTGTGGATTTCTGTGGGCTGTGTGTTCCAACATCTTGCAGCTAATAATTAATGGATCACCCTCCCCCAAACGTGACTCAGCCTAGTCTACCCATGAATTTGAATCATACTGTGACTCGTGACAGGACCGACATTTTGCCTGATTAAAAATAAAAGCAAAAGCTAGTTTACAAAGGTAGAATCCTAAATATGGCCAGGCCATGAAGAGAGGGAGGCACCAGGGTCCCCCACTTTGCTGTTTCAATGAGAAAAAAACAGGAAGGAGAAACAAGCAGGGAACCCATTTTCCTTTTCAAAAGGAGACGGCAGATTCTGCACAGAGCAGAGTAACTGCTCCAGGTGTGGGTACCCAGATGTTGAACACACATCAAATACCCATCCCTGAGGGGCAGGCACTGGGCCCGGGCTGTGGTGAAGCTCCCAGCCTGTACTGGGACCCACCCCTTCCAACCGAGTACCCTTCCCATCCGAAAAGCCAGGCAGAGTGTTTCTGGGTAGGACGTATGTACTTGTATATTTTTCAACTCAAATTCACACAATATAAAATGAACTATTTTAGCCCAGCTGGTGTGGCTCAGTGGTTGAGAATCAACCCATGAACCCGGAGATCACGGTTCGATTCCCCGTCAGGGCACAGGCCCGGGTTGCGGGCTCGATCCCCCAGTAGGGGGCGTGCAGGAGGCAGCCGATCAATGACTCTTATCATTGATGTTTCTAGCTCTCCCTTCCTCTCTCTGAAATCAAGAAAACATTAAAAATTAAAAAATACAACGAACCATTTTAAAGAGAACAATTCAGTGGCAGTTAGTACATTCAGAGTCTCATCCAATGTCCACACTCTAGCTCAGAACTGTCCTCGCCCTGCCCCTGGGAGCCACCAGTCTCCCATTGGATATTTTAATTCAGCATAAGACACATTTCTCAAAAGTCAGGTTCTTAAATATGAGCATGCTTGTAAATGGTATTTAACCAGTATCTACGCCGTAAGTGAGTCCCCTTAGGTGACGGCACACACTGCCTGCTGCCTCACTAAAATAGAATTAAGCAGGTGGTGGGCCTGAAATAGATTACTGAACTATTTCTTCTTCCCAAGGAGCTGAGAGTGCGGTGGCCGGCTGGGCCTCTGGCCTCTGTCTCTAAGAGGCTGAAATGATACCTCCTCTCATCTCTTACTCTGACTCGCTCGGACAGGCCGACAGGCTTTGTTCCGGAAGCTCTCTTGTATTTTTACTTTATTTCTGTTGGACAGAGTTCCTGGTGAATGAATTAAGGGCCATGAGTGTGGATTATACTTTTTGATTCTAACACTGATATGACTACTGTAAAAAATGTCAGGTCCTGCCCTGGCCCGTGGGGCTCAGTGATTAGAGCATCGGCCCGCACACTGAAAGGTCTTGGGTTCGATTCCTGGTCAAGAGCACATGCCTGGGTTTTAGGTTCGATCCCCTGGCCCATGGGGGTGAGTGAGCAGGCAGCCAATCGATATGTCTCTCTCTCTCTCCCCCTTCCACTCTCTCTAAAAATCAGTGGAAAAAATATCCTCGGGTGAGGGTTAGCAACAACAACAAAATGTTAGGTCCTAGTGAACCAAAATGGAACAGGTAATAAAGAGGAAACACCGAAAAGAGCACCCCGAAACGGGAGGTGACAAAAGAAAACACTGCGGAGAGTAAGAGGGTGGCTCAGTAAACAGGTTTATGGAAAGAGAGATTCTTCTGACTTAGAACCTGGTCCTGAGGGACATGCTTTAGGGGTGTCTCTGGGGAAGGGTGCAGCTCCTGCTGAGCCAAGGCCACTGCTTGTGCTCAGCACAAGACTGAGGCAAGTGTGTTCTGCTGGGTGGCAGGGGAAACTGAGGCACAGGGAGGAGTGAGCAAGTGGCTGGTTGTCAAGACTAGGATTTGATCCCAGGCACCCACAGAGCTTCTCCCTGTGGTGCCTTCACAGTCCTAGGGGGGACCCCGTGGGCAGCCCCAGTGAGTTTAGTCCATCTCTGGTCCAACCTTTCCTGCCTGGTGAGCACAACCTGCATGTCCAGTGGGGGTCAGTGTTTTTTCAAGCTTTATGTCCCCCCACCCCACCTCCTCTGCCCTGCCCTGTCCCAAATTCTCAGTTATGGGGATCAAGGGAGATGCCGTCCCTGGGAGTGGGTCGAACAGCTGAACAGAGGGATGTGGAAGAAGGTCTCGAGCCGCCGCCCTTAAGGAAGCTGACGCAGTGGTGACCATGAGGGCCTGAGTCCGTCCAAACCACAGGCAGCCCAGGAGAGTGCCCCATGGTCTCTGGGGCCAGGTGGTCCCATGAGGGGCAGGCGATTCCTCACGCTGCTGTAGGGAAGGACCACCTGAAGAAGTCACTGAGCTCAGTTTTGGTGATGATAGTTAATAATTAAATCATTATTGTCAGATTATCTTTTAAATGCTTGTTTACTGTTAGTGAAATTCTGGAACGTGGAGGACATTGTACTTTGCTTTGGGAAGATGTTAAAATGCATCTTTTGCAAGATTCATGTATCAGACATTTTCTTCCCCTTTCTCCAGTCCTTGTGCTTCATGGGTTTCTATCAGACGGGGGAGTTTTGGTGCAAAAAAAAAATCAATTTAAATTAGTATAGCAGAGAGGAGCTTATTGCCTCACGTAACTGACAAGCTGGGGGCAGGTCAATTTTAAAAACTCATGGGGTGCCCAGCCGGGTGTGGCTCAGCAGCTGAGCGTCGACCTAGGATCCAGGAGATCGCGGTTCGATTCCTGGTCAAGGCACATGCCCGGGTTGTGGGCTCGCAGATGATCAATGATGACTCTCTAATCACTGATGTTTCTCTCTCTCTCCTCCTCCCTTCCTCCCTCTGAAATCAATAAAGATATATTAAATAAATTGGGGAAAACTTTCCCTTTAAAAAATAAAAAAAGAAAAGCTCATGGGGTACTTTAAAAGACCATCAGCACTGAGTTATTTTATATTTATGAAAATTTTAAAAATAAGTACATGAGGGCACTTTCTAAATCAAAGAAGCCCACGCAGCATAGGACAAAAATGAACTGCCTTGGCTGGCTGTAAGGGGTGAGGGTCCCCGCTCACTGTCTGGAAACAGGCATGCCACGGCTGAAGCTATCTCCAGACTCAAAAATAGATTCCCAAGGGTATTTATTGCTTCATGTAGCGGAGGAAAATCTTTCGCATTCCGAGGGGAAAACGAAACGTTTCCCAAAATATATTTTCTAGCAAGTTCAAAGTTAATGGACTAAATATAAAACTAACGTTCTGTTTGTTATCTGTGTATATGTATATATTCTATTTATGTATTATATGCAGTCATACGTTCTGTTTCGTGTGTGTGTCTCATCTGTTATGCCCCAGGGCTGACCACAAGGAAAGGAAGGACGTGGGCACTTGAGTTACCATCTGGAGCGCAGTGGGATTTTACAGGACTGGGAGGAAGTTGCTCCAAAGAGTGATTTACGGGGCCTGAAGCTACTGACCTAAACTTTCTGCAGAATCTATGCTCTGCCTTAAAAACCTGGGTGACGTGCCCTAGAATGTGAAGCTAAATCTGTTGTCACCCCACCAGGCATGTCATCTGGCCCTGACCTGCTTTGAAGACAGGGGACCTTAGCCCTGGCTGGTGGCCTCAGTGGTTGAGCTTCATCCCATGTGCTGAGCGGTCCCGGGTTCGGTCCCCAGCAGGGGGCGAGCAGGAGGCAGCCGATCCCTGACTCATCACTGCTGTTTCTCTCCCTCCCTCTCCCTTCCTCTCTCTGAAATCATTAAAGACACATTTAAAAAATATATTTAAAAAAATACAAGAGCCTGGCCGGGCGTGGCTCAGCGGTTAAGCGTTGACCTAGGATCCAGGTGACAGGGGTTCGATTCCCAGTCAGGGCACATGCCCGGGTTGTGGGCTGCAACCAATCAATGACTCTCATCATTGATGTTTCCATCTCTCTCTCTCCATCTCCTTTCCTCTCTCTGAAATCAATAAAGATATATTAAAAATAAAGTATTAAAAAAAAAATACAAGAGTCTTAATGAATGTGACATTCTTTTCTTGTGGCTTTTTTTTGGGGGGGGAGGTGTAGTTTAACACTCTAGATCTTTCCAGGGAGCACAGGTCAAACACTTGGAAACAACAATCTTTCTCCTTGCATCTTAGAGGAGCCTTCTGCCCATGGCAGGACTTCCTCCAGGGTCAGGCCCTGGTCCAGGATCTTTCCCTCCTCTTCCCGTCCCTTCAGCACTTACCCTCAAGAAGTGTAATTTCTAATTCAGCTGTACTCGTGCAAACATTCAAAATCAGATCACGTCCCTGAGTGTCTTCAGAGTCAGGCTCTTCAGGGTTCGAGTGCTTTGGGGGACACTCCTGCTAAGCCTATCAGGGGGGCAACGCCTGCACCACAAAGCCTCAGGCCCCGTTGCTAAGCAGCTGGGTCTTGGTGATCACGAACTGTGTTGCCTCTGGTTTTCAGAAGGGGTTCTCCTTCCTTGCTTTCTTTAGTGGCTCAATAGAAATGCTCTCTTTCTAAGACTCTTCTCTGGTCACCCGCTGAGTGCGTGTTCTCGCCCACAGACTCCGCAACTCACTCTGTGAACAACAGGAGGGGTTTCTCAAAGAAGCAGAAAATCACTTTCTGGTCAAATGGGGAGGAATATTTCTCTTTTTTAAAAATGATTTTTTTTTTCTGATCTTAGAAGAAATACATGCTCATTGAAGAAAACTTGAAAATAGAGAAAGGGTTTTTAAGAAGTAAACACAACCCAAATTCTGCAACCTGGAGATTTCTACTGAGAACTCAGGTCTGGTTCTCAGTCTATGCACACACACACGTTTGTCAAGATAATGTTTCTAATTTCATATTCTACATATTTTTACTTTACATTCTTAGTGTGATAATTTAAGGGAAACCATCTCAGTGTTTTAGCCCCTTACGTGGGAGCAGGCCCACGGCAGCCAGAGGAGGGTGGGAAGAGGTTCGGCAGTGACCGGGGCTCGAGATGCCTGCAGGCTGCAGAACAGTTCTTGGGGCTGTGCTATGTCCGAGCCCCGGCTCCTGCTGGCCACCCCTGGGGCAGGCACTGGGCTGGAGGTGGCTGGTGATGAGAGAGGAGAGGAGGGGGAGGACCAGTGGGCAGGGGTTGAGTGGTCTGGGGAGACCCACAAGCAGGGGCCAGCCTCCCCCACCTGCACACTGTGGACCTGCACCGTGAGAACTCCCGTCTCCTGCAGCGTGAGTTTGTTCTCCAGGCCCTTTTGAGTGAGAGTAACTGTGGGAACACTTTGCAGCCAGCCCGTGTTCATGCCGCCCCCCCTTTCACAGGCATCGACTACAAGACCACCACCATCCTGCTGGACGGGCGGCGGGTGAAGCTGCAGCTCTGGTGAGTCGGGTCGGCCGGGACCCTGAGCAGGCCTGGCCCTCTGGGCACAGCCTGCCCCTGCGGGAAGGTCCCCTGCTCATCCCGGTCTGGCCAAGTGCTCCCCCGGAGGAGGAGCTGATCCTGTTGTCTGGCCCCAAGCTTTAGCCCTGGTCCAGGGCAAGGGGAACCCTGGGCCTTTGTGGGCCAACTGTCCAGAACCCGTGGCCTCGCTCAAGCCTGTCTCCTGCCTCTGACTCCCAAGTGCCAGGGGGGCCAACTCCCCGCGAGGCCAGACCCAGACCCAAGGTGGCCCTAAGTGGGCAGGGCAGGAGGGAGCAGGAGGCCAGCACATCACCCTCCCCCGGCTCTGGGCTGGGTCTCTTTCTTGGTCCCCCTACTGGGCAGCCCTACCTCTGAGGTTCTGGTCACATCCCTGCCCCTCCAGGTCTGCAGGTGGGGGGACTAGGTGTTTCCTGCTGCAACCGATCCCTGGGTGGCCCCCACCCTGTGCAGCTTTCCTGACCAGCCTCTGTAACGTACCCTCTCCTGGGCCACTTGTTTGGCGGTCTCCCCCTCCTTGCCATGCCAGCCACTCCTCAAGCCACAGGCACCTGCAAGAGCCAGATCCCTTTCTCCTGCTGTCCCCTCACTGGTAAGTGTCCCAAGTTCAGTACCCTGTTGTCAGGAAGCAGCAGTAATGTCTTACCTGTCCCCAACACCTTTTCCTTCCAGGGACACGTCCGGGCAGGGGAGATTTTGTACCATATTTCGTTCCTACTCACGGGGAGCACAGGTAACATCCCCTGAGCAGGAGGTCACACTGACGTTTGGGGTGCTTTTTAATGGACGCCTAGGGGATAAGGCAGTTAAGCTCTATGTGTAAACCGATGCCAGAGTCTAAAAGTGTGTGTAGAGTGTTTGGTGACTCACAAGCCTTTGTCAGCAACATGTGTGCATGCATGCCCATGTGTGCTGTTTGTACACACATGTAGACTGCACACAGGCACACACGTTTGTGCATGTGTTCACATGCACTGTTCTATGCATGCATGTTCATGCATGTATGTGAAGGCTGTATATACATGTACAGGAGTATTTGTGCCACACACCTGTTTGCATGTATGTGTGTGCACGTGTTGCTGTGCATGTGTGCGCTTGTATACACACATGCATGCATGTGAGCTGTTTGTGCACGTGTCTGTACATCTGTGTACCTGTGTGTGTGCACCTGTGTTCATGATCCTGTGTATGTCTGTGTGTGCGCACCCAAGCACCCAGGGGGGTGGGCTCTGCTCCTCCTGAGCTGATGATCCCTTTGGTCCCCCAAGGTCTGTATCTCTGGAGCAGCTCGTAGATGTGGAGAATTGAGCTCTGGTCCCCAGTTCACCTTGATATTTGAGGGCTTACCAATGAGTTTGTGAAATAATGGAAACAATCACATAACTGCTACATTTGGTAGATAAAATGAGTCTTGTGTTAGAATAAGAAAGATGGTTATTTAGCTGGTTGTGAATCTGTTACTGAGTAGTCCTCAGCTGGCTGCATGGCCCAGAACTCTGTCTACCGTGAGGTCAGTCTGGTGCCTCTCCCCAGGGCGTGATCCTGGTCTATGACATCGCAAACCGCTGGTCCTTCGATGGCATCAACCGCTGGATTAAGGAGATTGATGAGGTATGCCTCAGAGGGCTAGAGCTCCCTCCATGTGGGCTCTTGAGGGTGTCGGGCTGGGGACTCGGGCACATGGGCCAGGGTAGGAGGCTTTAGCAACAGAGAATACGTGTCACCTTCCAGCACAGGATGGGGCCCTGATGCGGAGGCCGGTGGAGCCCAGGAGTCCAGGCCCTGCACATGGCCAGGTGCCACAGTTTGCCCTCCACGGGTCAGGTGGATTGAAGAGCAGTGACCAGGCTGCTGTCTGCTGGTGCCCTGACCAGTCCATCTGCCAATGGGGACATGGAGTGGCAGGACCAAACCCACTGTATTAGTTTCCTGCAGCTGCTGTAACAAATGACCTTAAACCAGGGCTTAAAGCAACAAATTTATTTTCTCACGTTTTGGAGGCCAGAAGTCCAAGATCAAGGCGTGAGCAGGGCTGAGCTGCCTCCTACAGTCCTAGAGGACCCCCCCATCTCTTCCCTCGTCTGGCAGTTGCCAGCAGTCCTTGGCACTGCTGGGCATGGAGACACAGCCCTGTCTCTGCCTCTCTGGTCATTGGCCTTCTTCTTGTGTCCTCTCCTCTTGTAAGGACACCAGTGATTGGATTTAGGGCTCGCCCCAATGACCTCATCTTAACTAATCTCATCTGCAAAGATCCTATTTCTAAATAAGGACACATTCTGAAGTTCTGATTCAGTATAAATTTGGGGGGCACACCATCCACCCCAGCATGCCCACAGTGCCAACAACAAAAGCTCCCACAAGCAACCCATTTTCCTTGCCTTTCTTCCGCCCTTTAGCATGCTCCTGGTGTTCCTAAAATCCTGGTGGGGAACCGTCTGCACCTGGCCTTCAAGAGGCAGGTGCCCACGGAGCAGGCCCAGGCCTATGCAGAGCGCCTGGGGGTGACCTTCTTCGAGGTCAGCCCTCTGTGCAATTTCAACATCACCGAGTCCTTTACGGAGCTGGCCAGGATCGTGCTGCTGCGGCATGGGATGGACCGGCTCTGGCGGCCGAGCAAGGGTAGGCGCTGAGGTTGTCCCGAAGCCTCTTGCACTGGTCAGCCTCCCAGGACCCACCTAAAGCCGCTGAATCCATTTTCATGTTGTAACTGTGTTGACTTAGAGGGAAATCATGATTGCAGCTTTGTCATGGGCTCATGAGAGGCTTCTGAGATCTGTACGTGGGCAGAGGCTAAGGCGTTTATAATAAGGTAGTCTCAGGCGTCAATGCTGAGAAGGGGTCGGTGCCTGAGTAGGACCCCCAAGCCTGTGAAGACGGACTCCCTAGGGCAGAGCTCAGGCTTCCATGGGACCTCTGTGCCGATGGCTTTGGGAAGAGCTTATCACGTTAGGAATGATTCACTTTCCACTTACTTTGTTTACAAAGAGAGGAACTTGAGGAATAGTCGTATGTAGGGTATTTTTAATAGAATGTAACTGGGAGTGGAACGTCACATTAAAATTCCTGAGGAGATCTCCTGGGACACCATCTCTCCTGCTCACCTCTCGGACGTGCACGGAGAGATGGTGGGCTCCTAGGTTTTGGGAACAAGCTGAGTTTAAGGTGATGAAAACAGGTGGTCCTCTCCCAGTCCTGTCAGAGGCTGCATGAGGGAGTACGGAGAGCTTCAGCCCTGGTTCTCACGGTCCACCCACCCCAGAATCCTGGGAAAGGCAGGTGGACAGGCCAGTAGGCTGCTCTGAGATCAGCCACATCAGGGACAGCAGAAACTAAGCACAGTTTTCTTTTCTTTCCCAAGTACTGAGCCTGCAGGACCTGTGCTGCCGAGCAGTGGTGTCCTGCACGCCTGTGCACCTGGTGGACAAGCTCCCACTCCCCACGGCCTTGAGGAGCCACCTCAAGTCATTCTCGATGGCCAATGGCCTGAATGCCAGGATGATGCACGGCCGCTCCTACTCCGTCACCGCCAGCTCTGTCCACAAAAGGAACAGCCTCCGAAAAGGCAAGGCTGCCCGGCCGCCCCAGAGCCCGCCCAAGCGCTGCACCAGAAACAGCTGTAAAGTCTCCTAAGGAAAGATCGAGAAAGGTGCACGCTGGACCCTCCAGGAGACTCCGAGCCATCCTGTGGGAGCCGGGAGGCCATTCTAGATCTGAGAAACACAGGCCAGCCCCTCACAGACCATGCTGCTCCACGCCGTGACAGCCTGTCCCCACGGTTTGACTTTGATGTTTCTACATGGATGTGCATGAAGCTCTTGTGTTAGACGTGTGTTTGTAAAGGGGAGATTGGTAGTCTGCTTACCTCTTGATAACATACAGTTTTGAATGTTACTTATATCACGATTGCGGTGTAAACTTTTTCCTTAAAATAACTGCATTTATGAGAATGGTGATATGAGTGTGCTGAGTATAAATCCAGGGGATGCTAACAGCAACGACAGGTAACTCAGAGTCGACAGAAGGAGAGGGGCCTTTTTGTAAACCTCCTTTTTAACGTCAAAGCACTAATTTGTAAACACCATGGACACATTCGGGATTATGCACAGCAGGTCTCTCTCACTTCTGTACAAAATGGGTTTGATAAAGTTTTTGCTATGTTATTTACTACGTTTTGGGATTAATAAGTGATTTATAATGCCTATTTTTCTGTAAATCTACATTTTTTTAATATAAAATGTTCCACAAGTTATGAAGCCAAGAAAAGAAAATGCCAAAGATACCTCTAGTTATGTGGCTACAGCAGAGCCAGGTGGGCCGGGCACATGACAGAGAGCAAGCGTTTCAGGCAGGAAGAGGCGAACACTGTCACGGGAGGAGACCGAGCTGGTGCCTGTTTCTCAGCAGAGGGTAGAGTCGTTGGCTGGTTCTTTCCGACTTTGTGTATTTTACAGCCCTTTACTTCGTGGCTTCATGGCCTGTTTCAGGCACCACAGTCAGTGCTAGTACATGGTGTTGGCCACAAAGCTTTGTTCCTGGACTGTGTCATCTATTGAAAAAGATTCCTTTTCCTGAAAAGAAATGTAGAGGCAGAAAGTGGGGAGTACAGTTCACCCTTGAACAATGTGGGGTTAGGGGTGCCGACCTCCCGCACAGTTGAAAATACATGTATAACCACAGGCAGTCCTCTGCACACATATCACCAGCCATGGGGCTGACCCTTGAACAACACAGTTTGACCTGCACAGGTCCATTGGAAACGGCATGTGACCTGTGCAGTTCGAGCCCATGTTCTTCAAGGGCCACCTTGAACAAAGGAGTGCCAGTCTGGTAGAACACCAAGGGGTGCTCTTCAATCCCCCTGGAGCGCTCACAGATGGCATTAGGCGGGCTCCCAACAGACGGGTCCTTATCACCAATCACAGTGACATAAAGAATGGTGCTGACTTTGCAAACCAGGGTCTCTTGTTCCTGGTTGTACCTGTTTGCGGTCTCTCTGAGGCAGCTGGAGGTTAGAAGGAAAGATTAAAAAAATAACATGAGTTGAGAAAATGCCCAGATGTCCTCAGTTTCTGTAAATGATTTATAGATTTTTAGAAATTTAAGGGACCCTAGAAATGGGAGCAACACATACCTTTATTCAGAGATGGTGGAACCAAGGCCCAGAGAGAGAAAATGAGCACAGTCATGTGGTCACTGAAGGTCTGAAGCCAGACATGATGAGGACAGATATCCACAAGGGAGTGGGCAAGTGGACAGCAGATAAACCCTGAGGGGACAGTGCCTCTCAGGGAGCTGCTGGCCTGTGAGGACGTCCTGCTGGGGCCCTGGCCCCCTTCTCTGTAGGGCAGTGGATGGAGAGAAGGGCTGACCCACTGACCACGAAGGCTGGGACAGCCCACGTGGGTCACCTCTTTCCCACATTTGCAACCAGGAAGGCAAGGAGAGGTCCACGTCGCGTGAAACCGCCTTGGTCCCTCTTCTCCCCTTTGAAGAATGCGCTTCTCAGACCCACAGGGAAGTGAAGACATGGGGCCCGAAGATGGTGGCAGCTACTGGGGCAGGGTCCCCTGGCCGCAAGGTTAAACCTGGCCAAACAGGATTCTTTTTCCCTTTCCAGTTCCTTTTTGTTTTTCAATTGAAGGACTGCTCAGGACAACCTCTTGTGTCCTAGAAGGTCTATAATAAAGTTCCTGTAGCCACTGTGATAGGAGCTCTCATGGAGCACACAGGCCGCCAGAGGCCTCAGCCCTGCACAGACAAGGCCACCTGGGACCACCAGGAGCTGGAAGAGGAAGGAAGGACCCCCCCCCCTTCAAGCACCTCTGGAGGGAGCGAGGCCCTGCCCACACCTGGATTTCAGACACTGGCCTCCCGAGTTGTGAGATGACAACGTTCTACTGTGCGGCGATTTGTTATGGCAGCCCCAGAATGTTCATACAATGAATACGTTACACTCCACAGGAGAAAGTGCCTCAGCAAATCAAAGCGGCATTGTGTGAGATAAAAGCAACACGCCCTAGGGCAGAATGTACCAAGTGGAAGTACGCATGTTTTGGTGGTGAATGTAGAGGAAATGTAACTGAAATGTAAACTGAACCCTAAAGCAAACTGCTCTCCAACCTTGTCATTTGTCATTTTCTCCCACGGTCCTTGCTGCCGGTGAAATCCACCCAAACCATAAACATGAGCGCCAAATTACGTCCCAGATGTTTGTAATTCTCTTTCCAAGCGTCGAGATTCAAAAATGTGTACAATTATGTCTTCAATTGCCCCGTGAAAATTACTGCAGTGCAGAGTAATTTCCTAGACTGAGAGCTTACAGCATCGAGGAATCATCTAGGCAAATATTGAATCTGGAAAAAATGTCAATTACAGGCTTGATAATATTTGTTTTGCCAAAAAGACAGAGAGAGAGGTGCTTTCATTTGCTGGGGAGCAGCTTCTTCAAAGTGAATGTGAGAAACAACAGGCTGCATATGTTGGGGGAACTGGGAAGAGGTGTCCTAGCCCCTTCTAGGCAAGGATGGTGGGTCCTGAGCAGGGACAGGACCCATGATGTACCTGTTCTTGGGGCCTTCCCTTCCCTGAGGGCACCAGCCTCCACTGGGGGTGTTCTCAGGATGCTGGGCTATTGAAGGGTATTGGCCAAACAGGGTGCTGGTCAAAGTCTCAAAACGGGACAGCTGTGCTGCAGGACGCTCCACAGTGCAGCAGGCAGATGCCTGACACTGTTCCCTACCTCAGCGAGGGTCAGGCACTCTCTGCAGCAGAGGCCAAGCTGTGCCCTGGGCTGGCCCTGCCTCCCATGTCTAAATCTCTGGTCGGGGTCTGGCTCCATCTGCTCCTGCTTTGATGGTCTATGTCTTCTTTCTTCAGATCTTTGGATTCTCATACATCTGTCTTCTCAAAAAAGGCTGGTCAAAGTTTTGGCTTTTTTTTTTTTTTATATGTCTTTTATTGATTTCAGAGGAAAGGAGAGGGAGAGAGAGAAAAACATCAATGATGAGAGAGTCATTGATCAGCTGCCTCCTGCACACCCCAACTGGGGTGGGGCCCACAACCCGGGCATGTGCCCTGATGGGGAATCGAACCCCAATCGCCTGGATCCTAGGTCGCAACCACTGATTCATGCCCGACCGGGCAAAGTTTTGGCTTTTGATACTACGGTCCCTTCCCTGCCTCACTGTAGAACTCAAGAGCAGGATACTGCTTATTTTGCTCTACTTTCCGTGACTGACCAAGCCTGCCTGGGTATGGAGGTCTCTGAGTCTTAGTGGACAGGAAGATGGCCAATAAAAAAAAAAAGCTCCAAAGTCCACCCTGCCCCAAAGCAGCTGCTGTCGCTCCAGCCCTCACCCCTCCTAGTTAAGGCAGCCCAGAGGTGCCATCAGCCAGAGACCACCAGGAGGCTGACTCACTGCAGTGAGGGAGACCTTCCATCTTCAAGAAACCGGTGTGGGGGTGGCATCTCCGTAGGAGGGCGTGGAAGGGACCTGGTGGGGCGTGTGAGCGCCTGGAGACTCCGCCGCGTGGGTGGAGCGTGCCGGCTGCTCCACTGGGGACGACGCTCCCGGGCCTTGCACACAGTATCGATCGTCCTCTTTTTCTTTTAGCTCTGTAAGAACCCCATGAAGGAAACACGGACATCTCACGGGCTCCCCTGGCCCCAGGGGAGACTTCAGGCTCACAGGGGCGCTCGGAGTGTCCGATAGGGTTCTGTGGCCTGAACCGTTAAAACAGTAGACGGTGTGTTTCTCTCCCAAAAAGAAATTCGGGTTTGAACATGCGGTGCCTGTACCAACATCCCGGCTCGAACCCTAGTGTGCCCCCCAGAGAACGTGGGCCTCCCGCTCCCAGTAACGGGTGTAAGCGGAGCCCCCAGCACTGCAGCCACGTTTCCCGTCTTTCTCCTGATGAGGGCGATTACCAGTGGGGGTGTGACTGCTGGGGGGACCCGGCCCTGCCTGCTGGGGAGGGCGAGGGGCACGGCCGAGGCTTCCAATCCCCCCTCCCTTC